TCTTGAGTATATGTAGAATCAAGCGAAACCAACCTCAATGCACTATCAGAGTCTAAATTGTATGTCTAGAATGCCCAAAGCCGGGAATTAGGCTGGATGTCATTGAGAACCTTTGTATCTTAGCGTCTGCAAAGTTTGACATTGAGAGTCTCTTTTTGAACAGTTTATACCTATGATGCTTTAATTGTGTTTAAAAATCCGCCACAAGAACAAACGGTGTGTATATAAATCCTCGGAGCACAAATTCACACCTCGGCTTATTGTGACTATCTAGCTCCTTGATTTCTTCGTTATGAGAGAGTGGTCAAGAGCTATATTCCTGCGAATTTTCCACCAAAGCCGCGACCTCTACAGCCCTAGCATGAGCAGTGCTCATGACATTAACCGCCAGTCATCTGTCTTGAACCCCAGTGACTCAATCTCAAATGTCAGAAGAACGCACATCTCGAAAATGAATGTTCCCTTCGCCGTAGGGATGTATAAATTTCAGTTATAAAAACTAGCGGAGATACTCAAATCTGACGCAGCACCCACGTCACTCAGACTGCACGAAACCAGTCTCAAGGGCATGAAATTTTGTCCTATAAGCGAATTACACGAAGTATCTAGTAGTGTACATCCGCAGTGGCCCCTGAAGAGTCCAGAAGATACCGAGTTAATCGGCGACGTAGGCTCGACATCAACCCACCATCTTGCCAATATCGTAGGCAATGGGAGTATTCCGGCCACTTGGCAAAACCTTGTAGTATACCATGCGACGGGGTAGCATGGTCATTGGGATATTTCATTTCAGACAGCCTGATAGATGCTTCGAGGTTGAATGAGACGGAAAATTGTAAGATCGTTTAATATCGACGCAAGACTAGGGTCCAAGGAGATGTAAGGATTACCACATGTCAGTACAACTACGTTGCCAGAGTTACTTCCACATTCCTTTCAATTGATGATATATACCAAGGTATTGTTGGAACTTGGAAAGCAGGTCGTGAAGAAAGCACTTGTCGATCAGTGGAAACTATCATCAACAAATCATCGAACTGCAACTCCATATCGAATGCAAACAGTCTTCATAAAGATCATAAAGTGATGTTATTATTGTGACGGTTAAACAAGTCACATCAAAATGAGAAGTTGTCTGTTTCACCAAGATATCCAGACACAAAAAGCAATTTTGATTCCATATGATAGAAGAAAGACTATCCCACGCAATGCATTCATATTCATCAATGACTCAATCCACCATAAAACTCCTCTCATCTACTCTTATCTAGGTCCCAACTTTTCCAATACTCTTGTGCCTTGCTCCTCCCATTCTTGCTTTGTAATCCACATGTTCTCTTTATCAGCCATAATATTTGCCAACACTGCTCCTCCCAAGAAGACCATATGCCTCCTCCTAGGAGGGTCTTCAATTCGGACCTTGAACTTATTCAAGCGTTCAGGATCTCCACCGAGAACTCTTGTTAACCACAATTGTTTTAATTCTTTCTCGAGTCGTGATGGCAGACCAGGATACATAGATGAACCGCCAGATAAAACGATAGCTTTGAAAAGAGAGGACCGCACATCGACATCGGCAGCTTGAATGGTGTTGAAAAGGAACTCGGCAATACCGGGCTGTTCAACATCGACGAGATGAGGTTGGAAGAGGCACTCAGGAGCTTCGAAACGTTCACTTCCAACCCGGATCACACGCCCATCAGGTAGAGTGTAACTTTCAACCAATACAGTTGTATCTTCACTCAAGCGTTGATCCAACTCAAGATCGTAAGAAACATAGCAGAGCTTCTCCTTAATTTGTCGAACAGTTTCGAAATCCGCTGTTCTGTTCAAAGCGTATCCGCGACGTAATAAGAGAGCAATTAAGTTTCGTGTAACATCCCTACCGGCGACATCAAGACGACGAGTAAGATGGTTGAGAACAACTGATTCGTAAACTGGTACAATGTGCGTAACTCCGTCTCCAGAATCGACTACAACTCCAGAACTGAGACCTATCGACAATCAGTACACACAATGTCCTACACACTGCACACCGCTCGTCGCGCCATTGAGAGAATGAAAGTACCTTGTGCATATAGAGCCAAAACAGCTTGAATAGCCACGTAGACTCCTCCAAATTGATACCTCTCAAACATGACTTCGCACATTTGTTCTCTGTTCTTTAAGGGGTTCATTGGTGGTTCTGTCAAGAGAATCTTCCGGCCAGTAGGATCGACCTTCATTTTCTCATAAAACGTATAATCCCAAAGGTGTTGCATATCATCCCATTTCTTGACAATACCATTTTCCATAGGATATGAGACTTGAAGCATTGTCCTCGCTGCGGCAGCTTCATCACCACACATGATGTCCTTGATGACCATGCCATCATCACCCTTTTCTTCGGATCGCAGAATTGGTCGACCGACAATGGAAGGATATTGAAACTCTGGGAAATTCTAAAATTACAAAAAGTTAATTCTGAGGCATTTAGATAGCTTCCATCCTGAACAGTCCAAAATGCCACATACCTGAGCTGCGTATCCGACTTTCAGGAAACCAGTTCCTCCATCGAGGACTATGCGATTATTGTCAGTATGTATAATCCAAAGAGTAAAACAACTTCAGTTTACCTATTGGTGGTTCTGCCATAATTCCAGACTGTGGCAGATCAAATTGTAGAATCTAGGTATGAAATGGTTAGAGTTGTGGTGTAGCTGGTTGGTGATTCTGACGACGCTGCGGTTGAGGTCGGAATGTATGGCCGTAACGAGGCTTAAGCTTCCCCGCCGAACCCGCTTCACTTCACAAAGCTGGTTGGAGAAAGTCCAAAGATTGTTAGAGTGAACAATTTCTTAATTTTTGTCTCTGATTACTGTATACCACATCTACTGTTGAGCCCGTTTAAGAGGCAAATAAGGGTAGATATTTCACCCAAATCCTACCTGCAGGCTATATCATTTATAATTGTACGTACGAATAACAAAGGTTGAGGGATAACCTACCCTTATCACAAATATGACTACCAATATCAAACCCAAGAGACTTACAGACAGAAAGCTTCTCATCATAAATCCAAACTCTTCCAAGTCTATGACCGAGGGCCTGCAAACTCTACTTTCTTCAATAAGTGATTCGTCTCAGGTTCAAATTTCGTTTTACACAGCTCAACTTCCAAGTCCTCCGTCCATCAACAATGAAGAGGATGCAATCCTCTCTACCGAAGTTGTTCTCTCAGACCTTACATCAACTCTTGATCAATATGATGCATTTCTGGTAGCCTGTTACAGTGTTCATCCATTGGTTACGGAACTCCAGAAGAGAGTGAGACCAAATGTACACGTGACAGGCATTTTTGAGGCCAGCGTGATGATGTCTTTGGGATTGTTGTCGCAGGGCAACGGAAAAAGATTGGGTGATAATGATGGTAACAAGGAAGGATTTGGAATCGTGAGTACTGGAAAATACTGGGAAGAAGTGTTGGGGGCAGGTGTGAGAGATTTCTTGGGAACTCAAAAGGGAGAAAGTTGTGAAAGATTCAAAGGAGTAAAGACTACAGGTCTCACTGCTGGCGAGCTTCATAGTGTCGATGGTGAGATTGTCAGCACCAAAATGAAGGAAGCGGTGAAAAGATTAGTTGGAAGAAGAGATTGTTCTATTGTTTGCCTAGGGTGTGCAGGAATGGCAGGAATGGACGACATAGTCCGAGAAGCAATCGTAGAAGAATTAGGACCAGAGGATGCCAACCGAGTATATATTGTCGACGGCGTCAAAGCCGGTGTTGTATACTTGGAGGCAAATTTGAAGGCATTGCCTAATGGAAGTGGCTAACGGACACTGACTTCCCGGAACAGATAGCTTCGACACCGCACTCTTGAAATCGACTAGACCTGGCAGCAAATTAACAATTCCAACAAGATTTTTGTGACTTATTTATAGACTGTGAGACTGGCGAGAAGATAGAAATATCGTAGATCCATACTAGCTTGTTCAGTACAGCAATCACAGACTCAAACGACCCAGTGGAATGATGAGGTCACGAAGGAGTTCTGTTGATCTCATAGAACCCAAGTGGGCAGTCGAGCTTTTGGATAAGACGGTCCTGAGCCAGCCATTTTCTTGAACTAGCTTTGTGAGTATGTTTTTTTCTTCAAAAGAGTAGATACTCCTCTGGATCGTAGGCCAGCATGGGATGGCAAATCAGATATCATGGCGATTTACCTGCTATTTGTGATTTGTCATGCTGACTCGCTAGCAGGATGAATGGTAGGTATGCTTGAGGGAAAGGGAAGTAAATCTATGAAGGGATCAATCAGTAGGTAGGTTCGCGCGAAGTAAGTAGTGATCCAAATTCTCTTGTCTTGTGCTACATTCTGGGATGCATTACTGGAAAGATATTGACATGTTTATGAAATACCAAGACTACCTTCTGTAATTATTAGTCAACGTGTCTGTTTACAATCTCATGGCCGGCGCTCAGAACCATATAAACACATGATTCATAGACATCATGGAACAAAGATCAATATGTACATACACACACACATATATATATATGATGCCCTACCTGTATTCATACGTACCCACGAAGAGTACGAGTCCATGTGCATCTGACCTCCATTTGATGATGAAGTCGACTCCGAGATAGTCAGTTAATGAACGTTTCAGGTGGGTTTCCATGTTCTGTGAGTAGAGCCTCGTGCCTATGGCAACTATGAATACACTTCAGCTCAAAGCGCATAGCAGCAGCATAGTCCTAAGAAGAGCGTAACCACTTAAATGGCAATCTGAAGAACCGAGGAAGAACCGATGTGAAAGTGCGTGAATTACAAGCCGAACCCCCAGGTATGTCGAAACCACCAAAAGACACAATTGAAGCCATGCAATACATTTCTCCAGAATCTGTAGAGTAAATAATCCTTTTCACCATGCTTGGTCCATACTGATTATCATGCAAACTTGTATTCCATTTCATGCCGTATGTACACATCCATTGATTCATGATCGTCCCTCCCATATCAATTGCTTCTTGCACCATCCTTAGCCTCCCTCAATTCGTCCATCTTTGCAACTCTCTTTTTAAATTCATCGTATTGGCATTTTTCGTAGGAATGTCTCTCTTGCTGTTTCATGAAATACCGAATGTCAGCCTTGTTCTTGATACCCCAGTACTTCTGAAATGACCCGCAAACCCACCTCACACTTCCATGGAAGATAGTATTCCTCCTGCCGACAACGATTGAGGGGAATCAATAGACCGGCGCATCCATCACGATATGCGATGGGTAATCGGGCTTCGCTCATTTGTTCTCTGGTTGCGCCTGAACCGGGTGTTAGCTTCCGTCTGTCATAAAGTAGTATCTAGAGGGGCAAGGAACCATACTTGTAGATGGGCTACCCGCAAGTCCAATGGCGGACTTTACAGCTTCAGTTACTGTCATGATTGCGTTTGAATATGTATTGATGGGGATCTTGGATTCTTGGATATTGAGGGGGGTTTGGAAGTAAGGTCAACAGAACTCACGCTAATAATTTCAGCTTAGTAAGCCATCCATCCACATTGATTTTGTTCTTTTCTCAATTTATTCAAGAAGTGCATCAATCATATCATTGAGGTTTCATCAAGCATGTATTCATGATTCAAGCTGTTTTCTTTCAGATTCATCCTCCCGAGAAGTCTTGGGAAACAAATGTTGAAAGATTATGGATGATGAGGACTTATGCCAAACTTTATCCCCGTATGAAATTCACATCTGGCTTACAGATTCCCAGATTATTCTCAATTTTCAAGTTGTTGGATTGTGAAATTTCTTCAAAAATGGAATTATAACAGTAATTTGTTCTTCGAACGGAGACATTATCATGAGAGAATGAAGTCGTCTTCGTGTTCAAGAGTGTGCTATACCCTAAATCCTCATCTAGTGTTAGGGTAATTCCTCATCATCACAATCTGTTTCAAGTGCTGGGTGATTCAAGTGAAATTTTCCGCAATTTTCACTAAAAGAACTAGTTGACCAAGTGTACCAAGTCGGTTCGGGAATTTCTCCCAACAATGCCCACCTTTCAAGCTCTCTCTTTTTATAAGCAACAGGGTCACGAAGACTGTGCGTCCTAATATCACGCCAAAATCGATCCAGTCCAACATTCTTACCAGTCGCTCTTGCTCCAGTCATTTCAAATACTCCACTCGTCAGATTCAATCTAACGTCAGTAGCTACAACCTTGACAGCTGCAACAGCTTCTGCCAATTCACCACGTTCTCGTGCAGAAACCGATCGTTCGTCTTGATGTTTCGCATATATGTCTGTCAACTTGTTGCCCACAGAATCCGCTAAAGCTACAACTGCCGACAGATGTGCATGAAATGTGCCATATCGCTCAAGTATATACCACTCCTCTGTTGGACTATCCTTATTATCTTCGCTAAAAGGCCACGCGCGCGTATACGTCGTCGTATACTTGGCTGCTGATTCTATAGCTCCAAGAGAGATTCCGATGTAATAGTTCGCGAAAACCAATTGAATTGTAGGAAGTAGTAGAGTTGCGAAAGGGACAGTGAGGATTTGAGGTAGTGGTTCCTTGGTTTGGGCATTCCAACCTAATGCATCTTCCCAGGGAATTCTAACATTTTCGATCTTGACGCTACCGGACTCTGTGAGTCTTAACCCAATTTTATTCCAATTGTGCTATTAAGGTAGTAATGTCACCTGCTAAAGCAAAATTTTCAACATCATTATAACTTATGGCAAATTGAATTCCCGGTTGTCTAGTTGGCACCGCAGCAAAGATATGCTTACCACTTCCCTCCAACACACCTTCAAGAATTGTCATGTCAGATACGAGTCCACCAGTGTTGAATTGTTTTTGTCCATTGAAGACAATATGATCACCATCTGATTTGATACTCAAATCCAAATCTCTTGGGTTAACGGTACCTGTTTGACCGTGTCAGTTTATACCTTGAAGGTTGATATGACTTTAATTACCTCCCATGAAATAATTATTTTCGATTATCTCCTTTTGTAATCGATCTTTCTGCTCATCTGTTCTTACAACATTTGCTGTCGTTGACCAAAGCAAGTGATACTCAAGCAGCATACCCAAAGATCCATCACGCTTAGCTACTTTTCAGATTGCTCTGTATCCGATATCCCATGATTGACCACCTCCACCATATTTCTTTGGGCCTAATATTTTGAGCATTCCCGATGATTTTAAAAAAGATACTTCATGTCGAGGAGATTTTTTGTCTATGTCTCTCTTTGCAGCGTTTTTCGACAATATTTGGGAAATTTCTGATGCTCGTGAAAGCCATTCTTCTTCATTTTGAGGTACGGCAGATTGGAATTTTTGATGATAATCTGAATAGAGAATATCCTCAGAACTTGCTAAACCTGGGGCAGCCATTTCTTCTGCTCCACAAAATGTATTTGAGGAATGGAGGATTCACGACCAGATACAGCGGAAGAAGTGATTGAGGGGTGCAGGGTATTTCAATCAATTCCATTTCCAGCTCTCGAGTTGATTTTGGTTTAGCCTTTTTGAATTTCATACATGTAATTACGGATACATAACTCGAATGTCGTGATTATCTTTCATAATGCAGATCACTGTATGAAATGCATCCCGCGTTGTTCTTGGACGTGGTTCGACTGATGGATGGGGTTGTTTTTACCTCAGGCATGGGAGTAATTTCCCCACAGTAGAAATGTTACGCTATGAAGCTAATGAGATGTCGTGATACTTGTGCAATATTTCAAATTAAGTAGTTACGAAAGTTGAGAAACTAAGTTTTTGAGTTTCGAGTTTCGACTTAAATCTTCATACCCGTGCAATAGTTTATGCCAGTATTATCTGTCCTGGATGAGTAGATGTGCTCATTCTATGAGGATCTCCTTGCAAAATCTGCCAAGTTACACTAGTCATGCTAGTTCGGAAGGTCCCTTGTAGAAGTTCTACAATCCTATCACAAATCATAAAAGCACTACCCTTCAAAATTCAAATTTGCTTTGATGAAGACGGACATGCCTCTTTTCTGTTTCAGCGCATCAATGAGCCATAGATAACCAAAAGTTGCGAGCAACGAATTTTGCTCTTAAGCATGGGAATTAGGCACTTCGAAGCAGATCTGGAATAGGGAATATCGCAAACCACGCAGAGAACGGTGCGTGTTGACTCTATGAGTGTGGATGCGTGATTTTCAGCTCGCTGTCTTGACGGGCGATGCGCCTTATTCGAGCTCCGATGGTCAACATTGAAACTTGAGGTATCCGAGACAGCGAGCTACCTGGCCCTATGTTGACCTGCTATAATTGCAGGGGGCTCTTGTATTCATTGTTTTCTGGATCATCACGACCCATTCTTTCTTAAACATTGGATCGCCTCACTCTCTTGCAATGTCGCATACTCTAGGATGCAACTAGCAAAGATGATATCAAGATCACAATGTTCTGCAAACTAACTGTGAATTAATAAATGTGCTGTCTATCGTTGTATCGAGCTGGTAGGATGTGATGCAAGTTTGAATACCATCACAGGAATCAATTTTACTTCCATTCATTTTTTCCCCAATCGATCACAAAACTTATATACCACCATATATGTATGCCATCCAAATTTCATTTCACCGAATTATTCTAGATTTTATCATCTTATCGAACTTTGGATACAGGGCTGATGCATATGACTGGCAATACCAATAAACTTTCCACGTGAAACTCAATTTCTCCAGCCTCTTCCTTTGCTATAGATAACTAACCAAGGACTGTGACGCAAGCTGAGGCAGGAAGATCGATGGACATAACAATGAAGCAATGAGTTAGTACATTACTTGAATCAATCAAAGATCAAAGTCCAAAGCAAGTGTTCCGATACACCCCCTCGGACAAGCTAGTTGGTCAATTGTTTAGATCTTTTCAGTTCGATCATTTGTGCAAGAAAGCCACGGTATGCCTAGAAGCCTCCTAATGTGACTTGAACTTATATCGACAGAACTTGGTTGCGTGAATTGATCTCCTAGGCAGCGGACCTTGTACTTCAGATAGTGAATTCAAATTAGAAAGTATACCCTCGCCATCATTTCCTTTACCCACCCCGAGACAGGGAGATAAGCGATGAAGCTAACGAAGATTCTGCTACCGACTTTGAATGATTCGTTGAGAATCAAAGACCCCACGCTGGAGGAGTTTCTAGGCTTCTTGTCGGTGCTAGTAGTGCTCAGACTAGGCTGCGCAACGAGTATCCGCAAAGCAGATAATAGCCTCGACAAATAATCCATCTATAGAATAAATAATTCAGAATCTAAACAAATAACCTATAAATAATTCACAAATTATTTACAAATTACCTATATATCCATAGATAATTTATATATCTACAAATAAATAGGTTATCCACAAATATACAAATAATCTACAAATAATCTACAAATTATCTATAAATAATCCGTTATAATATAAAATAAGATAAGATAAAATAAGATTAAAGATATAAAATGATTAATATATTGTACTAATCTTTATACTAATTGTTTTACTTATAATTATATATTTATTATATATTTATTATATATTTATTATATATTTATTATATATTATTATATATTATTAAAAGAAGTAGAAGTTATTATATAAATAATAATATTATAGAATATTATCAATTATATAATTTTCTTAGTAATATTATTAACAAATTAGATTATTTTGTTCAATACTAAAACTACCTTTATTACCATATATTTTCAATATATCTAAATATAAATTATAATTCTTTATTAATATAAAAATAAGTTATTATTATTTTCTATAAGCGACATACAAGTACTATATCCTTCGCTTGAATAATTACTCGTTTTACATAAATAATATACAAGTTTATCACTAATAATTATTAACTTTTCATCAATAAATAAATATAAAAACCTACTTTCAAACTCAATTACTATAATAGATTCTACAACCTCTTATAAAACCTCTAAAATTAAACTCTAAATTCAAAAGGAATCATAATCATATATAATTTCTTTTACTAATCGATTAAATAATAATTTTAAAATAAGAAGTTCTATCAATTTTTAAGATCGATGAATTCCTCAAAGTACAATAACTATATACATTTTAAAGTTTTATACTAATTATTATACTAATTATTTAACTCACTACTAAATTTGAATCTTCTTTTCTTTTTATTTACATTACAAACATATGATTTTTTAGTTCATAACCACATTTTTATATCATTCAAATCAAATCGAATTATATCTAACTTTAAAAAAGGTATTATACTTTACTAAAAGATTAATAACTATTTAAAAATAAATCAAAGTGATTTAGCTTATTAATATTGATTGTAGTATAAATAGCTTAGAAATATTAATAAAAGAAAAATAAATTGAAACATGAATATAATAAATGAGAAATTAAAAAAAGTTATATTTAAACAGAAATTAAATCTTTACTCTAAAAGTAAGCAAATATACATTTAACGCCTTCCCACTTTCAAAAACTTTAATTTATTTCAAACCTTTTCAACTTTTGATATTAAATTCAATCTTTATACTAATCTTTATATTAATAATTCAATATATCTTTTAAGAATAAAACTTCTACTAAATTATCTAATATTCTTTACACTACTAAAGCTCGAAATTAATTAAATAATCAAAATGAATTTGAAATTCAAATCGAAAAAGCTAAAGTAAACAATTAAGTAGTAATCACTTATTAATTAAATACTATTCGTTAATTAAATAAATAGATTTAAGTAAATAAACTCGAACGAGTTTATATAAAAAAGTAAATCAAAAATGAAATAATCTACAAACAATAAACTAAAACAAACTTACTCTTTCCCTATTGATATTAATTTTGATTTTATTAAAAAAATAACAGGTATTCATACATCAATTGTTATATAAAAACTAAACTATGAAGATAAAGAAGGTCAATTTATACAAGCTTATAATAATAATAATAATTTTAAAGATTATAAAGAAAATAATGAGGTTCTTTAAAAACAAATATAAAGAGATAATGATGAATATAATAAAGAAAGGTTTATTGATTTTAAAAGAAAGAAAAAAAAGCAAAAACAAGAGTTTTTTTGTTTATAATATTAAGGTATATTAATTCTTATAATTTTTACTTTTTTACTACTAATTTATTATTTAGAAGTATCAAAATCTTAAATTTCATTTCTAATAAAAAACTTAAAAGTAGATAATAAAAAGCTTTCAGAAAAAATGTAATAAATTAAATTTAAAAAGAATTAATTATTTAATCTCTTTAAAACCTTATATTGATTATAAGATTAAATAAATTAATCTTTTTTTTATATTAATCTTTATATTAATCATTAATTATTATATAATAAATACTATAAAATCATTCTACCTTATAAATTCTTTACCTTTTATAAATTGATATTATAATAAAATCTTCATATAACTCTCAATACTAAATATAAAGAGAAGGATTTAGATTAAGTATAACTATTAAACCCTAATGAATAATATGTAGAGAGCTACAATCTTAAAAAATATGGATTTTATAATCCACTAAAAAAAAGCTATATAAAGGTATATTACTTCTATTAATATATTCTAAAGATTTTATTTCTTAAGATTATCAATATATTAATTTTATACGTAACAAATTTCGTTTGATAATTAGTATAGAATTACTCTTCAAATTTAATGTATAAATAACTTACTAATTTCAATATCAATATTAATATTAATAATATCAATTCTTACTATATTAACAAATAAAACTATAGTAATATATACCTTTATTATTCTTTATTTAAAATAATTGTTTTAAATTTAGGGTTAATTAGTAATCTTTATAATATTAATCTTCGAAATGATTTTTTGATTAAAAAGAATAATTCAATTAAAGATTTTACTTTGCTTCTTTTAATTATAAGTTCTAATTGAGTTTATTTTCTTTTCAAATTAAACATCAAATAATCATTTTTATAATAATAATAACAATCATTATGATATAGATTGAAAGCTTTAAATAATATTAATCTTTATAAAATAATTAATTAGGAAGAGAATAAAAAAGTGTAAATATAAAAGTCTTTTCAACAAAAGACTAAAATCTTAAATAAAAAACCTAATATAATCTATCAAATCTATAAAAATATACTTACTCACTCTAATATTTAAAACAAGAATGTGGGAATTATATCTTTAATTAATTATTTAAAGTTTAAGATATATAAAAAAGTTATAGATTCTATATAAAGCTTTTTATTATTCAAAGTAAGTTATTCTAATTAATATAAAAATTAGTATAAATATTAATTCAATTAATAATATTTATTAAAAGCTTTAATAAAAGAAAAATTTAATAATGAAGTACTTTCTATTATTATTTTTTTAAGAACTTCTTTTCGAACTA